AGGTCTGGTGCATGGCGGGTGCAAGACGGATAGGTGGACGGAGAGCTGCCTGTTGTCCCCACCTCAAACCTAGAAGTAAACATGGCATTGGACTAGAGAGCAGGGTCTCTGCCTGGCTCTCCCCCAGACCCGAACTCTGCAGCTGCATATAGCCACATAGATATGAGGGACTCCCGGCCGATCAGACACTCTCCGGACGCCCTTGGGCATGATAGGGGATGTAAGTTGTCTTGGAGCAGGGCAGAGTGCTGGGACAGTTGCCTCCAGCCCCTGTGACTCGCTCCACATATCTGCACATCCTGTGCATGGAAGGCTCTCCCACAGATGAGCCATCCCCTCCAAGGCTTTAAGGATCCCAGCCATGACCCCGGGTAAGGATGTAGCTCCCTGGTGTAAGGGTGCAGTCCCTGTGGGTCGGCGCCAATGCACAGAAAAGAAAGTGTCTAATCCATGTGTAAGGGGTTCTGTCAGTCTGTGGTGGGCATCTGGGTCCTGTCCAAGTACAGGCTGGGAACAGGTGCTTGGCTGGGGTGTGTGGAGGGCGGTAGGTGAAGATCTTGAGATTTTGGTGCCATGCCTGCGGCCTCTGGTCTTCCTCATCCCTGCCTTTCCTTTGTCAGCCTCCATAGAGCCATCACCTCTCTGGTTCTATGGTGGGGCAGAGTGAGGTTGTAGGGATTTGGCCCCAGGTCCTCACTGGGGGCACTGACAGCCTCTAGGAGGCCTAAGCAGTACTTCCATCTGCGATCTGGAGTGGACACCTCCCAAGGCCTCATCAGGGCAAAGGTGTATGTGTTTGGGGGACCCCACCAATAATCGGGCTGAAGATGAGGTTCCAGAAACAGAAAAACTGCATGGACAAAGCACGCCAGCAGGCAGTTAGCATCCCAAGGTGGAAAAGCTGGTAGATGTCCCTTCATGTGTCATTTGAGGTGCCATCCCCGAGGAGGGTGCACTCATTGGTTTATTCTGGGCCAAGGAACCAGTAAGGGACTAAGGCAGAGTGTGAGGGCAAGACGACCCAACGTCTGTGCTCCTGGACGTGGTCGGCCGGAGACCTGGACAGTGCTCCCCACTCTGTGTGGCTGAGGGATCCGAGGATTCACCCTCCTTGGACGCCCTGAATTTATGGCAGTCCCTGTCTGTGGCGTTCTCACTGAGACTCCTCATCCGACTCCCAGAGGAAGTCTTTAGGACCAACTGGTACAATGGCCTTGTTGCTCCGGCCGCCATAACGTTAATGTCACAATGCCCATTTCTGACCGTGTTCAGTAAATTTAATTAGTGTTGGAAAGCAGCTTATTTGGCAAGATGATCAGGTTTTAACCTGGGTGAGTGGCCTTCTTTATGACTGTAATTAAGCGCATTATATCTTTTCTGTGCATTGTGGCTGTCCTCGTGGATATTGTAGGTGGTCACTGGTGGTCTCACTTGGTTACCTTTCCCATTACGTTTTATCATCATCCTGCTAGGAGCAGGGAAGTCATTCTGCTTCAATGATGAGGGAGAAGTGGTGACGAGGGGCTTGTTTAATGAAGAACCAGCCCTTGGTCAGTGTCTCTGTGGCCCTGGACCACATTCCAGGTCTGCCCCTGCCCAGGGTGTCCTCAGCTCTCCATAGGGCCTGCTGTCAACAGCCCGTGCGAGGGCAAACGCAGGGCTTTGAAGCCACTTTTGCCTTAATCGCAAATAATTAGGAATCAAATATTCACCTACAGTCAATTTGCATGTCAGAGAGAACCTGAGTGATCCTGACAGCTTCATGGCCACAGGTTGGCACAGGTGTTTTCTCAGCACTGCCCCTCAGAGCACAGCCTATGGGGAAGGCCATGGAGCCATACCTGCAGGCCGATGCACGGTGGGCATGTCACGCTGGTCCTCAGAGGTGCTCACAAGCTGGGTGTGAGGGCATCTCAGAGGAGGGGGACAGGTAGGGTGGTTCTACCGTGTCCCTGTCCACAGTGAGCTAGCTTTGGCCAGGTGGTCTCTGAGCCCCTTCCCTCTCTGCGTCTCCAGGACTTCAGTTCTCATTACCCCAGAAGGCCCCATCTCCACAGACATATGCCCCCTTCATACCTCCATCCTCCTGTGCCTCCCTGCTCCTCTTGGAGGAGGTGAGGGGAGAGGGACCCTCAGAGGCTCCCTGCATAGGACCCCTGCACCTCTCCCATCTCAGCCCTAACCTGGTGTTTGGGCAGCCCCACTAAAGAGCATTAAGGAGATCAGTTCTTAAAAGTATGGCATTGCTTAAAACCTGAGTGTAGGCCAGCAGGTGGCATAGTGGTTAAGGCACTGGACTCCCACATGGCTTACCATGGTTTAAGTTCTGGACCCAGAGGCTTGAAACTCACACCAGGCACGTGTGGGTGTATGCCCAAAATCCTGAGAGAAGAATAGAGAAGGGATTGTGATGTGGCCTCCCCTCTCCCCGGGGAGGGGCGATTTCTCAGTTTCTGTCTCTCTGTTTCTTTCTGTCTCTCCACCAAGCAAACATGTCCTATGGCAAAAATCTCTCTAAAAATAACATAAAATAAAATAAGCCCGAGTGTACTGGGGCATGTGAGGCCAAAGGTCCAGCATCAATGGGACCTCCTGAGGCCAGAGAGTAGGGCGAAGTGGGGCAGACACTCTGGGAAGGGCGATTCAGAGAGGGGACCGTTGGACGCACCTCGCAGGGGACATGGAGCCCTCTGAGGGTGAGCCCGAGCTGACAGCCGGAAGGAGAGCGTGAAGCAGGGCGGCTCAGCTGGAGCAAAGCCCGAGGCAGGTTCTTAGAGGCCACAGGCTCGGAGAGTTGGGCTCTGGGTCTTCAAAATGACAGTTTAGCGGTTCCCGTCCTGTCTGCACCTGGGAAGTTTATTAAAACAGAGATCCGACAGCAGTGCTTTATGTCCAGGCCCTGTCTTGGGAGAGAAACAAAGGCTGGTATTTTTAGAGCCTGTTAGTTTCTTCTAGTAGCCGCCAGCACTTTCCAGGGTAACCCATTTTCTAACAACCCAGGAGAATCCTGCCAATCAAACACACTGAGGCTAAGAGCAGTGGCAAAAACGGGCATGGAGACCTCCAGCCCGGACCTCCCGCTACGAAGCCTTCCCTGCTGGCCACTGGCTAGCCAGCACAGGAGGGCGTGCAGGGGGACCCCTAATGCCACCAGGCTTTCCCAGTGACATGCAGACAATTAGCAAGGTGGATAAAGGAGAGTCACACACCCCACTTAGGCTCCACACTTTTATACTGCCCAGAGGTATTCTGACCTTCTAGTTTATTACAAGTCAAGAAAAAAGTCAATATTTCTTAGCTGACCAAGGCTGGAAGAATTTAAATGAGTTATTGAATCAAGCAGTTAATCTGCCGATAACTGATTTTTCCCCCCTTTCAAATCTGTAGTGATGACAAGCTGACTTATCCAAAAACAAGAAAAGAAAGATTTTATTTTTTCCCCTTAGACATTTTAATCCCATAGGGTAGGAGCCGGAGGCTGAAAGTTCAGTGTGACTGCTGGGGCCATTCTGTCTTGCTGAGTATTTTGAAGAAGAGTTCATTAAAACTTAAAGCTAAGACGTCTGTGGCCATCAGATCTGTGCTGGTGTTTTCACTGCCTGCTTCTGATACGCCCTCGTCACTCTCGCCTGCCCTCTGCCACTGATGCCACGGGCCGCTGTCTGCTCCTCCAGACTCCTGCCGTGGACCGTGGCCTTGGTTATGGGTGCCCGTGTGCCTTTCCCTAGACCTGTCCTTTCAGAAGCCAGCCACTCTGCCAGCCAGCCTGCCCGCTTTGTGTGGGAGCTCTGGGCACCCCGGCCTAGATCCTTGTGGGTGTGTGCTGAGTACAGGGGACTGCCAAGCAGAATGATGGCCACCATTTCCAGGGCCTCTGCCATCTTGCCCATGGCCACTACCTTGTGCTAGAATGGACTGGGCAGTGGGAAAGGCTGGTGCTGGCTTTGCTGAGGGTGTGTGTCATGGAGAACCGTGTTCTCCCCAGAAGGAAACGCCAGCCTCTGGTTTCCCTGCCTAGGCTGCCCTCTGCCCTCACGCTGAACGCTCAGAGCAGACTTTCTCCCTAGGCTCCGCTATGGCTCCCCAGTGCCTGCAGTGTCATACCTAAATGCTTCCGCTTGGCTCTCTAAGTCTCCTAAAACACGCCCCCCTCAATACAGACACATCTACTCGCAGCGGGTCTCTCCAAGGCATGCAAATGTTACCTGCACTGCGGTTTGCCGAGCCGTGGCCCCAGGCCGCTGTGTCTGAGGAAGCCCTCCTCCTCTCAGTCTGCAGGCCCTCGGCTCTTTACCACCTCCACAACCCCCCTGTCCTCTCCATTTACTTCTCCAAAATGGCGCTCCTTGGCTCCCATGGCTCACTGCCTGAGCTTATCCCATGGCCTTTGTCCCCTTCAGTCCAGGTTGGGGTTTATCTCCATGCATGTCATCGCCTATGGACTGACAAAGTCAGAGGAAAGGGAGCCATGGCTTGTCCATCCCTGGGGCCCTTAAGGCTCCTAGCACACAGCCCGGCCTGAAGTCAGCACACGATAGAGGAGCAGGAAAAAGGAAGGGAATTACTTTTTTAAAGGCATTGACTTCACAGGCTCCTAGTCCAGGAGTTTGTCCCAGGGCCTGGGAACACTGCTGGCAGGCATTGTCCTCCCCCGTGAGGCACTCTGAGCACGGAATGGCTGGGCGCGCTCATTTTTCACCTCGCAGCGGGAAAAGTGAGTCAAAGGAAGAACCCTGCATTTGCTAAAAGCCCTCCCGTGGGTCCCAGGCTGGGCAGGTGAGGCCGAGCTATTTGGACTGAGTTGCTGTAAAACCTGAGCTCTGTCCTGCAGGACACCCTGTTGGCTGCCCCTTGTTGGAGGGACAGGGACTTATCAGGCACCCCGCGTCTCTGGGCCTCCCCTCAGGTCACCTCTATTTGCTGTGACTTGGACACACTACAAAGCCCTCACCCCAGCCCCCAGAGCTCGAGCCTGACCTCGGTGTTTCTGTGTTTGGCAGGACTTTCCGGCCACGCGGGGTTGCCAGCCTCCTGCGGGAGGAAGCTCTGCAGCCGCGGGAGCAGGTGCGTGCTCGGCGAGGAGACGGGAGAGCCCGAGTGCCGCTGCCTGGAGGCGTGCAGGCCCACCTACCTGCCTGTGTGTGGGTCCGATGGGAGGTTTTATGAAAACCACTGCGAGCTGCACCGTGCTGCTTGCCTGCTGGGGAAGAGGATCGTCGTCGTCCACAGCAAGGACTGCTTCCTCAAAGGTAGGAAAACGGCTTCTTGCTCTCTGCGTTCGGGTTTTGTGACGATCTCCTAATGCTCTTTTGACAAGTGACCCAGGTATGTGCAAAGGACGTGAAGGAGGGGAAGGCTGGTGCTTTGACAGACTGGCCTGGAGCGGCCTTTAGATGATGCATGATCAGAAACCCTTTTCCTCAGAGGAAGCCCCTCAGACAGGGGAACTTAGGGAGGTCTAACTAAATCCTGGCTGGTGCAGAAGGAGCGTCCATTAAGGACCAGCTGACGAGGTGTTACCCGAGTTTCCATGTGGTGGGATTTGCAAGGTGCTGACAGGGACCCCACCACCTCCCTGGACAGAGTCTCAGGAAGCAGAAGGCTGTGCTAGGCCCAGGCATACCCAGGTGGGCACCAGCTGCAGCTCCCAGCTGGTAGAGTCCTGAGCTCTGGCTGGAGCAGCTGCCAGTGGAAAATGAGCCCATGTCTTGCCAGTCCAGAGTGTCTCTGAGCAAGACAAGGAAGCCCCTGTGTGGGTGTCACAACATGTCCCTGGGGGACAGAGATTCAGCATTTGTTAGGATGGAGCGCAAAGAGAAGGGCAGTATTTGCCCCCCACCAGAGCTACAAGGCCAGGGACTATGGCTGTCCTGTGCACGCGTTTTACATTCCCAACACCTAGCACGGTGCCTTGCACCAAGAAGCTGCTCAGTGGTTCACAGGTGCAAGAAGAGGTAAGAGTTAGGATGTATGTTCAAGTGTTGATGTGCCCAGTAAATGGGGCATGCCGCAGCCTGGGAACTAGTGATACTTGTTATCCTGAGACCAGATGGCCACACGCGAGGAAATTAGGAAGCATATGGAGGGCGGGTGGGAACAGGCCACATAGACAGGGCTGGGGGGCATGGCAGCAGAAGAGCCCACTTGTGGTTGTGCAAGGTCAGAGACCTGCTTTGACGGGAGCAGGGAAGAATGGAGAAGGCTTGGGAGGGAGGTCTACCGCGTGCCTGCAGCACTGGTGAGGAGGGTACCGAGCTGCCGAGCCGTGAAGAGCTGGGCGCCGAGAGGGCAGGGGCAGAGCGCTCACTCTCACAGCTCCCAGCCTGAGAAAGGTGACACTCATGACACAGGGTGAGGGGAAGCCACAGCCTGGGAGCACAGGGATGTGCCTGTCGCCCCCCACCCTGGAGCCCCCTGCACTGCTCACTAGGCCACTCTCCACACTTGCTGGCTGGTGAGGGGGTGGGGCGGGGCCTGGCACGGGCCGGTCCCTGAGACAGCACGATTGGCCTATGATGGGAAAGGTCTTGGACACTTTCACAGCTGTGCTTACGACCCAGTGCTGAGGTGCTTCAGAAATCACGAGACATTATGGAAATGAGGCCAGGATGAGCCTTGGAAAACCGTCCTCGGTCTGGAAGCGCTGGCCAGCCACGTGCCAGTCGATCCCACAGCAACTGTGCGCACTAAAACACTTGACCAGTTGCTCCGGCTTTATTGGCCGTGCTGAATTTTATAGACTGATGTTCCATTCTCCGGTTTCCAATATCCCCCAAATTGCATCTTTCTAAAGGTTTTTATTTCTGCATCAGAGTGTACGCGGCCTCCCTCACCATCGGTTATTCAAACAGCATTTCTCATTTCACGCCAGGGAAAAAACAACCACCACAAAACCTGCCACGGTGAGGGATGATGGGGGGTGCTGGAGCGAGTGAGGGTGGGGGGCAGCCTCGAGCAGATTAGGGTTTGGTTCTGCTTCACGCTGATTGAATTTATCCACCAAAGCCTTCTGATACACTGAGTTTTCACAGATTTTTTGAATTCCCACCCACTTGGTATGGCATAGCTGCTCTCTTAAAGATCCCTATCAGGGACCAGCAGTTAGCGTAATGGCTATGTCGCTGGACTCCCACATAGTCGACCGCGGTTCACGTCCCAAACCCAGTGGCTTAAAACTCATGCCAGGCGTGTGTGCGTGCGTGCCCAAGACCCCAAGAATGGAAGAGAAGGGATTGCAGCGTGGCCATCCCCCCTGGGGGATGATTTCTTGCTTTCTGTCTCCCTGTCTCTCTGTCTCTCTCCATCTTTCTGGTGAATGCATGCACCCTATAGCAAAAAACTCTCAAAAAAAAAAAAAAA